AGCGGCCCCCTCTCTTTGTTCACTGCTGCGGGGCCTGAAGGCAAGATACTTTCCTGTATTACAGCCGGCTGAAAGATGGACTGCTTCTCTTCTTCCTCTCTTATCTCAGGTGGTTGATCTGCTTCGATGGCAGCGCCAGTCATGAGTCAGTCATGCAGATGCTTGTTGTTTTGCTTGCTCGCTCGCGCAAGGTGCAACAGGGCCAACTTCGAGCCAGACGAACGCAGTGCCTTTTGCAGCAGACGAGACATCTGAACGATCATGTTGCCAGTCAGGATGCTCGCGCCGAGTGGCAATCCCTAGGTGCGCCGCGGAAGTTCGGAGGCTGGAAATGGAATACAGGGAGAAACCAAAACGTCGCAACTCCAGATCCACAAGAACCCCGACGGTGAAGTCCTTAGGACAAAAGCCGATCCAGACAAAGATGCTCTAACAAGCTTTGCGAAGCTCGAGCGTGCCGACATTCTTGGAAGAGAAGAACCCTACTCCATGTACAACTCTGATCAAGTTCTCCCAGTTACACTTGCGCTTCCCTAGAGAAAGTCATGGCGGCGAGAACTTCGAGAGATAATAAACGGTAGCAAGGAAGAGCACAGCGACCAGTCCAGATCTGATCAGCAATGGTTTCATGCGGGAAGCATCTCGCGAATTCAGTCAGCTTCTGCACCCCCTCTGTCTACGCGCGTCACTTTTTGGCGATGGGCCCTCAGGACAAGCGATCCGCGTCTATGCGGCTGGGCCTGGATCAGCGGTTGGCGCGGAGTACCGACAGATCCTCCCGGGAGCACATGTCGTGAAACACCGTACTGCTTTCCTGAGATCCATCTTCCATCGAGTAACACGCGTGCTTTTGAGTGAAGTGCAGCTTGGCGGAATAACAAAGAAGGGCAACGAGCGCGCGATTCTGCTCACGCGCAGCTTCGCCTTGCCTTGCAAGGCGCGTGGAAAGTCAGCGCTCATCCTTTTCAGCGATCTCATGAACACTTCCCATTCTTTTGTCCGCCAGTCTCTCCTGCCAGTTGAGGCCCCTAACGATGTGGAGCAGGTCATTGCAGACAACGGGGCCCCTGCTTGACTCATGGGGCCCATCGAGGAACTCCTCCAGAAGCCAGCTATCTTGAGCCAACTTCAGGGCGGTCACGTGGCCGGCATGGCTAGACGCAGCCTTCATCACGCCCGGTTCCTGGTCGGAAGTGCCAAAGACGCGGCTCTCGGCAATATTGGATTTGGCGTCGGAATACCTGTAGCTGATCACCTTTTTCAACTTGAACTTCTGGCCCGCACAGCGCGAGATTAATGACGCCTTGCAGCAAAAAGGCCGGCTACTTAAGCTTCCAGAGTTGACGCCCAGCCAATGTGTTCTTACTCCTTGCGAAGATCAGGCACTGCGCGTGCACGGTCCCTCGCGCGTCGGTGATCTCGTCGCACTTGCTGCTGCGCCCTTTTGCGATGCGTGGGCCCAGGCCCTTGAAGACACAACTGTTTTTTTTTGTGTTCCGAAGCTGTCGTCAGACGCGGCCTCGCTCCTAATTTCGAAGGAGGCGAGGCCGAGGCCATGTTTTTCGTTTTCGGTAAAGGCAGTACGCAGGCCAACAAACAGTTTCATCCCAAGCCTTCTGCCCCCCCCCCCCCCCCCCCGCCACCCACCCACCCCGCGCCGCGCCCTCTCCAAGCATGGCCTCAGCATGCGCGCGACGAAGCGATATAAATATTTCGGCGACCAGCCCCCGTCAGATTTGAGCCTTGCCCTTGAAATATGCGCCAGGACTCAGCGAGCCTGCGACGCTCGCAGGACCATGCAGAGGACGGCGCATAACGGAGCCGATCTTGACATTCAACATCATATTATGTATGCAAAGTCTATCGCTTCCTCCCATCTCTTCCATCACTGTTCTATTTAGACCCAGCTAGGCAAGAAGACGCAGAGTCGCCTGGAGTCGGCACACCTGCGCGCGTTTAAGGCAGCTGTTTGCGCGACATGGGATGATACGATGCAGAGGCAACATCCCGCTTGCGAAGTCTACGTTGCTGCGAACGTGCTTTCCCCTGCCGCCATTGTCAGCCTCAGGAGACTGCGACTGATCGGCAGGCTCGTGGAGACAGGCCCCTTAGGTCTGACCAGAATTAGAGATGTTCTTTTTCACGTGCCTGATAGCTGGAGCGCCAGCATCATCAAATACATCGGCGCTCCGAAAGGTCATTCCGATTTGAGAGGCGCGGCGCCGCGCGAATGCGGCGCAAACGCTATGCTGGAAGGTCGCGGCAATGCATGCCCCTTGGACAGGCGAGAGCAGCCGCGCCCCCGGGCGAGCCCCGATCGCGCGCGGGGCGCGCTCCTGTTGACAATGGCTCACCCGGGAAACCGTTTCTTGCGCAGGAAGTCCTGGGCAGTCTGCCCATCGGCGGCTCCTTCGGACGAGGCCCAGAACCACCGAGAAACCGTTTTTATAGGAAGTTCTACGCGGTTTGCCCATGTTCGGTTTCTTCGGAGAGGGCCCGAAGACTTCGATAACGACGGTTTTTACAAGGTGCCCGACGCGGTTTGCACATTTCGGGTCGTTCGAACCGGATCCGCACTGTTTTGGCACAAGTCCTATGGGATTTGGCCACTTTCAGGTCGGCCGGTAAACTTTTCGGGTCGTCGCATGACCGAACCCGAAGGCTTCGTTCGAGGAGGTCCTATGCCGTTTGCTCATTTTCGGGTCAGTACACCGCTTGGGATTTAAATTTTAACATTGGGAAGGGGAACCCGATCCCGCAAACCCGTGCGAGGGTTAGGCTCTGCCCTTGCATTGCACTGGGCCCTTCCGGCCAAACGGGGCGCTGGGCTGTCGATCGGCGCGCCGACTCTGCCCTCGCGACATCGCCCCCATCAACTCTCGGGCCCCGCGAGTCTTATCCTGCGCGCGTCGCCCCAGATGGCCGCGGCGAGCACGGTGGCGAAATTGGGAAACTTTCGGATCGGCGCAGTATTCCCAGTGGCTGAGTGATCACGTCACCCTTCCGCCTGACATGATGCCCCATTGAGACTACAGGTGGCGGCTTCAAATGGCAAAAGATTCCCGGAGAAAGTGGTTCCGTTTATGTATCGAAGTTGAAATTGCAGCCTTACATGCCCACATAGACGCCCAAAAAGTTTGAAGCTTCCAGAGCCCCTACAGTATATTTTTCAAAAGAGGCAACCTTCCAGCCCCCTCCCCCCCCCGCGCCCCCCACCTAAGGCGCCGCATGAGGGGCGCCAGAAACATATACTATGAGTGCTCCTTTGTAACAGATAACGCGGGGGCCCTGGCAGCCCATCGAACAAAGAAGCGCCTTGTTTTTGATTTTGCAGTTAGATATGCACCCAGCGCGGACTGTGTTTCTTGTGGTCGCAATTCGCATACCAGGATACGCCTGTTTGCGACATCGTAGGAAAAGGGTCGTATACTTGTCTTGCCAGGATTTCCTCGGCGCTCAAACCCTTGCCACAGTAAGAGATTCAGCGCTTAGCAGAACTTGGCTGCCAGACATCTTCCCAATTCACGCGCGGCGGTAGATGTGCTGGCTACGCCGAACAACCGCCATGCCGCATATGTGGCCCTACTTTGATCGGAGTCAACACCACTCCCATAACTAGGTTTCGTGCCCGCAAGTTTGCTGGTCGGTTGCCTGATGATCAGCCTGTGCAGACTATTCTCCATATACCATGTAGTGCTGCCCTGTATGTCTTGCACGTGACATCAGAACCGCGCTCTGATTTTAACTTCTATTACTTTGCAGCGGCGCCGACTGCTCAGCACCACCCTCTATGTTTTACATATCCACCCGCAGCAAGAGGGCTTGCGTGAACATGTGCGCACTTTCGTTGACCTGATATCCCAGGGTCGGGCCGCCGCAGCGGCGTGCGAAGTTATCCCCCTCGGACCGCGATGCTGCGCGCAAGAAGCTCCGAGGGAAGGCTCGCAAGAAGCTTGGCCTCTCAAATGACTCAGTGAGGTTGTCTCTAAGTCTAATGTGTGCGCGTGCGTGGAGTGGCTTATCAGGCTCAACCCATAACTTCGAGGCTCCTCCTGGTCAAATGAGTTTTCTTGCCCTGCCAGAGCTCCGGCATCTCATTTCCCTTGCAGGCGGAGGCTCATGCCGGCGCTGTTTTATCCACGGGTTTCTTTCAGGACTTGGGACTACCTCACCGCTGCTCTCGGCCGTCAACAACGACGGCATACAGGGGCGCCTTGCTAGAATTTCTAGGGGCAGATCTCTCTTTGAGCAGTTCGCTGTGAGTGTCTCTGCGGTTGGAGGTTTCGACGAAAGGCTCGCTCCCTTCAGGGCCCCTCTGGACCCCTGCCTCGGTCCTCGGGCCCTGGGCCAGCCGCCAACCTTCACCCGTCGAGGTTAGTGGGCCCCCCATTTTGCATGTGTTGCATGAAAGACACCGAGACCTTGACGCCCGCATGATCGTTCGCAGCAGGAGGAGGAAGAGGAGGAGGACGAGGCGGAGGAGGAGGAGGAGGAGAAGGAGTAGGAGGGAGAGAACCACTTTTAGGCACCGGCCCGCCGCTTCTTCTGCAAAACCTTCCTGGCAGCTTCTGAGATTCGGAGCCTCGCGCGGGAAGGAAGCCCCGGGCGAAGCGCCCGCCCCGCCCGTCCGACTGGCCTCGGGGCGCGAGAGGGAGGAGCTATCCACGAGGGAATGGAGCGGCGAAGGAGGAAGACGACGGCCACGACGGCGACCACGACGACGTCGACGAAGACCACGACGACGACGACGACGCCGCGACCGCGACCAGGACCACGACCACGACCAGGGCCGCGATCACAACCACGACGACGAGGAAGAGGAGGAAAAGGATAAGGAAGACGACGCGGGCAAGTACGAGGACGAGGAGGAGGAGGAGGAGGTCAACGAGGACGAAGGCAGAGCCATCAAAATCGTTTGTCACTGGGAACGCTGGGCCAGCCCGCGGAAACTGTCGTTCGCACCTGTCAACAATGTGTCAGTCGCCGCCGGAGCTCTCCAGGCAAAGCCGTCCTCCTGATTGATTTTACGAACACGTTCAATATCGTGCAGCGGTCGGCTTTCTTGGAAGAGGTTGGCAGGCGCATGCCATGCTTGGAGGCTTGGGCTAGGTGGCGTTGCGGCGGCGCGTCAGACCTGCTGTTTGGCAGCCGCGTGCTAACATCGAGTCCAGCAGGGCGATGCTATTGCACCTCTCCTGTTTTCGTTGGCTGTTCACCCTCCCTTGCAGGAGCTGAAAATCGATGCTGGTTTAGACATCGCACGCGGTTGCCTTGGCGAGTTCTGCGCGGCTGGCGAGTTCGACGCGATGCTGCGGGCGTCGCGGCTGATTCAGCGAAAAGCGGCAAGCCTGGGCCTCGAGCTGAACTTGGACAACTGCGAGGGCATCCCCACGGCTGGGCGCGACGCGGAGTGCAACCAATCCCCGCCGTTGTCCAGCGGAAAATCGACGGTTGCTTCAAATTGCCGGGCGTTCCTGTAGGTGGTCAAGAGCATTGCGCAGAGTACGCGAAGGTGAAGAGAGTGCAGAAGTTGACCGGGATGTTCGACGAGGTGCCATTACTGGGGGACGCCCAGGTCGCTCACAATTTGTTTTCTCGATGTTTCTGAGCGTCAAGAGATGCATAATCTGCGGACAGAGCGGCCTGACTGGATAAGGCGTGGTCTGGAACAGAGCCAGCAGGCTGTCAGGTCGACGTCCCAGATCTGCACAGACACAGCGTTGAACGAGAGTCAGCGGCAGCAGGCGCCCCTCCCCTTGAGCAAGGGGGGGATGGGCTTGCGGCTCGGAAATTCCCACGCTGCTGTGGCCGACCTTGCTTCCCACATAGCGACGCGACACTTGTGCGGTCAGATCTACGCTGCCGTCTCGCGGGGCGGGGGCTGCGATGGCGGCGCCCCGGCAGCGGCAGCCAACCTCCACAGTGATGGCGCCCACCAGGAGCATCGCGTCACAATGGTGGCTGCCGGCGGCTCCTTCCCCGACCAGCGGGGTCTGTCGACGAAAGTGGGCGATCATCTCGTGGGCCAGCTGATCGCTGCGAGCCCAGGCGCCCACAAGGCGCCCCGCGCAACCAGCGCGCCGCGCGCGAGCGCGTTGCTGCAGTCCCAGCCGCGCAGCGCCCTCGGGCAGCGCATGTCCCAGTTCGAGTTTGTGGCGGCCTTGCGTTTGTGGCTTGGTTGCCACGTTTCTAGCAGGGGTGACTGGCGCCCGAAGTGCGACCGGGCGATTGGCGCGCAGGGCCTGCACCCTCTCTGCTGCATGGCGGGCGGCGACGCAGTCAAGGTGCACAACGCCCTGCGCGATCAGACCCGCTCCTTCGTGCATGCCGCGGGCCTCCGGGCCAAGAAAAAGGGCGGGTTGCTGCCGGGCGACCCCCGCCAGCGGCCGCGCGACATCCGCCTCCCGACTTGGCCGTTCGGCCCGCCCCTGGCTCCCGAGTTTGCCGCGGCGTCGCCTCTCAGACAGTCTGCGGCGCAAGGGGCCGCCGCCGGACAGCTCAGCGCGGCCGCGTCGTGCGAGGGAGCGAAGCTTGCAGACGGAGATACTGGCGCACGCTGCGAGCAACTTGGCATCCGCCTGGTTCCCATGGTCGCGGGGTCCTTCGGCGGACGGGGCGAGATGGCGCGAGACGTTTTCCGGGCCTTGATTCATGCCCGCGCAGCGCGCAGTGGCGAGACGGCGAGCAGTGCCATCACCTTCTTAATCTATTCTGGCCTTAGCATCACTTAGATAGTTGCGAACGCACGCGCTCCGCTGGCCAGGGCCCCTCGGGAAGCCGGGGTCGATGCTGACCATGTCAGCCGCGCGGCGACCCTGCTGCAGGCAGGGCGCAAGGGCGAGGCCGATTGAGGGACCTTTGATCTCTAGTTTCTTTCCCTCCCTCAACCTCTGCTGTTCGTCGCGTTTTCCCCTCCGCCGACAGGGGCGCCGGCATTTGTTGCGCTGGCGCCTGGAGGCGCATCTCGGCCCGATTCCTTGCCTTGGCCTCGGCCCTCGGTTGGCTCCCCTCCCCCCCTCTCCCCCCCCCCCCCTCTTCTGTCTTCCGTGTTTTTTGTTGTTGTTGTTTCTTTCTCTCTCTCTCTCTCTCTGTCTCTGTCTCTGTCTCTCTCTCTCTCTCTCTCTCTCTCTCTCTCTCTCTCTCTCTCTCTCTCTCTCCTCCCCCTCCTTGGCTCCCCCCCCCTCCCCCTTCCTTTTGTAAGTCGGCCTGGTCTGTCCTTTCCTGTCGTCTTCCCTCCCTCTCCCCCTCCGTCTCTCGCTCCTCGGCTCCTCGCTCTCCTGCCCGTTTCAGCCCCGTGCCTGGCCCGCTTTTCTTTGTCGGCCCGTCTCGCGGTCCGAGTAGGAGCTGCGGTGGCCTGGCGCTTGCTGCAGTGCGAGGCGCACCCGAGTGCCCAGGCTTTGATCAGCACGAGTGGCTATTCGTGGTTGTCAGCCTGGGTGGCTATTCGTGGCTGCCTTCGCGGGCGGCAATTCGCGGTTGCTAATTCTCCTGGCCGAAGAG